CACCTAGAAATAAGTCACATTTATGGAAATGGATGTAAAATGGTTTGCAAATTGGTGTTCTTAAAAAAAAACGGTCTTCTTAAATATGGTTGACAAACAACTTTTTATACAACCTTTTATAGAGCATAAAACCATTATTAAATTAGGTAAATCTTTCATTGTTGGACAAAAGCTACAGGACAATGAATCCAGCAGATGGGAAAGGCTGTAATGGTCAACACTATAGTTAAGGATACTGTAATAATGTAATTTTTTATTTTATTATTATTTTTTTATTAGGGTTCCTTGGGTTGGCTGAGGTCTAGGTCAGGGAATGTAGGGAGAACAACACTGAAACCATATTGATTTTGTCTGCATATAGGTTAGAAGGTTGAGTTACATAGTTCCATTTTAGAGGCACAGGTTTGTGGAAAGCTACTTTTCTGTGTATTAAATTAAATATTGGAATAAAGTTTGAAAGCTGATCTCCATCTTTGTAATTCAGGGCAGCGCTTGACCGTCTCTCCAGTGAACACTGCACATTTCTCTCCTCTTTCTCCCCTCAGGCCATCGAGGGTGAGAGTGCATCCTGGGAGTTTTCCAGGACGGGCGGCAGCGGCACGGTGTGATTAATATGGGTGTCACTTGGCAGCTCCATCGTGCCTCATAACAGCATCCGATCTGAATAACCTCTCGGCTTAATGTGCTCTCCCCACCGCCTGCGGCTGGTACTTTAATGCCATTATTAACCCTTTTCCACCTGCATCAGACATTCTTACTTACTCCTGGAGACACAAGCTTGATATATGACACAATATGGCTCTGATAGAAGCCCTTATGTCACAGTAGGATCGCATGCAGAAGACATTGCCTCTGAGCCTGTGAGATGAAGAAAATGAAAATTTGATAAAAATAAACGATTCTAAATGCAACTAACTAAAACATTGTACAATGTTGGGAAAGGAATAAAAATGGGCAAATCAGCTTGATCAGATCTTGTTGATGTGAAAGATTGTACAGATAATATTAACCCTCTGCTGCTGTTCGGACTTTTTTTTTTTTTAATGAATGTACTATATTTGACTAATTTTTCAATATTTTGAATTTTTATGGCATTAGATGGTAATAAATTATAGTTAATAATAGTTATGATCCATTTATTACTGTACCTGTTAAGCACTTTTTGAGCATAGACCTGACAGTGAAATATCCAAGTTAAATCGTGAATGCTTTGGAGCACAGACTTGCATTTGATCTTTTTTTTTTTTTTAAAGAAAGCACTTAGCAGATTATTCCTCAAGTGAAAAAATGAAACGAAAAGTTTATTATGAAAAATGCACAAAATACAATTTATTTTTATTTTTTTACAATTTATATGAAATCTATATTTTACAAAACATTTTTTATTCTAAAACTCAAAATAAAATCAAAGCCATAAATCTATACAAGCCGTGTTTCAAATCTGAGGTTGATATCACAAAAAAATGCACAAAAAAATAAATTTTTTTTTTTTTTTTTTACAATTTATATGAAATCTATATTTTACAAAACATTTTTTATTCTAAAACTCAAAATAAAATCAAAGCCATAAATCTATACAAGCCGTGTTTCAAATCTGAGGTTGATATCACAAAAATGTAGCTTTCAGTAAGATTTTGTTTGGGCGCAGTACCAATCGTTTCCAAGTTGTTGTTTTTTTTTTTTTTCAGGACCATTTAACCTTTTCATATCATGTCTTTGACTTTTTTCCTGTTCACATAGCAAGTGCCAAAACCTTTACCAATTTTGTACCATTCCGATGAAGAAAAAAAAAGTCAAAATGTAAAATTCTTTGGTCAAAATGGCCAAAAAGCACCAGAGCGTTAAGGGTGAATTCAGGATAATTGGGACATTTTCCCAGTCATCTCAATGGTTAAAAGTGCCCCAATTTTGTCCCAATTCATACAGCCACCATACTGAGTGGTCCGTCTACACACTTTATACTGTCTCTGACATGACAAACACGTAAATATTAAGGTCGCAAGGTTTTATATTAACATATGTCCATAGAGATCTTATAAAAAATATATAGGGAGTAGATATATTGCTTGTAGGTCACACTCATAAAGTCATGACAGATGCAAGTCTACGGGGATGAAATCTGCTGTGTGGTATATGATGCAGTTCTGCATCTGGTTTCAAACATTTACTGGCCAAACTAATGAAATTGTGACTTTACCATCAGTAAACCAACATAAAATCACAGATGTCAAAAGGCAAGTGCCAGAATCAAATCATGTCAGTCAGTACATAACATCTTTGACTGTCAAAAAATGTTTTCCCCTTGTTTGAGCGCTTAATGGCTCCGAGCTCATTTCATTATTTTTTACGACAAGACTCTTTAAGAAGACTGTGTGATCCTGCAAGAGAAAATAGCATTTTCTTTGCAAGAAAATTGGCTGTAAAGACCTACAACATGAATTCCTAGCTGAGCTGTTGCACTTTGCCTGAGAGGAAACAATAAAAAGGGATTTAAAATTGATCATATCAGATCTGATGTATTTGTGCCCGTCTTTGAGTTTCAATAAATGGTAATAAATAAGCACCTGCACTTTAGCCCAACACTTTCTCTTGGTTCCATGACGCTTCAGTGATGAATAGAACAGACAGATGTGAAAAATGAGCGTCTCACAAACCAAACAAGACGAGCATAGACAACAAAAATGACTTGATTTGAAATGGAAAGTTTTTGGTGAAACAAATGGTAAAATTGGTATGCTGATGACTTTGAACTCTGGATCTCAGAGTTTCTCAGAAGTGAGGTCTTGTGTCGGTTTGAGCACCAGTCAAGGGCCAAATCAAATTTTGATCTATTTTTAGAAATGCATTGATCTTTCATACAGAATCTGGTTCAAGTGTTGAGCCCAGCGCTGATACTCCTCCACATAAAATGTCAAAGAATTTCTCCAAAAGCTCAATGGAAGTGGTGCTCTGGCCATATACTTATTCCTAACAAAGAGGGTGATAAATTGCTTTCTTCTGATTCCCCTTGATTGATCCAGTCCGTTTGGTGTTTGCCATCCTCTGGTGAGAGTATTGATCTGTCTAGAACATCCTGGAAAATCAGGAATTTCTCAAATCAAGTAGTTCATTTTCAGTTCAGAGAAACAGGAAACATTCTCCAAATTGGTAAAAGGCCAATAGAAGGTGAACTTCAAATTAACTTCATGTCACATTGCTGGAAGGAGATTTACTTTATGTTGCAGGAATGAAATATAATCCGTTTTCATAGTTCTACTGGGATTTCTATAGGGACCACAACATATATAGTACGACCATTTTCAGTTTCATTTTGTACAAATTCCATCAATATATCTATAAATATATCTTATATTTTTTTAGTGTACACTACTGATCAAAAGTGTAGAGTTATGTTTTATTATTTACTTTTTTATTAGTTGTTTTTGTTTTATTTTTCTATTTTTTTTTCAAATAAATATAAATGCTGTTCTTTTGAACTTTCTATTCATCAAAGAATCCTGAAAAATATAATGCATCACATTTTCCACAAAAATATTCGGCAGCACAACTGGACGTCACGGACACTACGTCCATGTTTTTATACAGTCTATGATTTTAACATATATTCACATAGAACAGTTATTTTAAATTGTAATAATATTTCACAATATTACTGATTTTACTGCATTTTTAATCTTACAAACGCAGCCTTGGTGAGCAGAAGAGACTTTCAAAAACATTTAAAAAAATATGACCAAACCCAAATATTTGAACAGTGGTGTATTTGTTCAAAGTAAATGGTTTTATTTTGCACACAGGATTTAAAGACCCTGAACATTTTGTTCTCTAAAACTGGCATTTAAATGAATGATCAAATCCTATCTTGCATAAATCAGCAGAAATGCATTAACACATGAGAAGTAGCCCCGCTGGACCGTCTCAAGCTCTGCAAAGAGTGTCCCATTCATTCAAGTCAAGTCAAGTCACCTTTATTTATATAGCGCTTTTAACAATACAGATTGTGTCAAAGCAACTGAACAGCATTAATTAGGAAAATAGTGTGTCAATAATGCAAAATGACAATAGTAAACACTAATTTTCCAGTTAAAGACAGTTCATCATTGAATTCAGTGATGTCTTCATTCAGCTCAGTTCAGTTTAAATAGTATCTTTGCAATCATTTGCAATCAAGTCAACAATATCGCTGGAAATGAAGTGAAGTGAAAATTCAGCATCTGATTGCAGCACATCGAAAATTCATTACTGGGATTCTAATTGAGCTTGTTCCCCAAAGGAAGATCCCTTTATTCTTTAGCCACTCCTCAGAAACAAGAGCGCGACACATGGATCACACCATAAGGGCTCATTAAGATGCAGAGGAGTCTCTGGTCTGCTCCAACAAATGCCATACTGGTTGGGGTCAGTTTTTCCAATCTGTCTCTGTATACATATGAAGTAGGGCCGGGATAATGGGGACGCTTTGTTAATGTTGGATCCAAAAGAGTGACCTGGAGATTAATAATATGTCACAATCTAAAAACAAACATGACATCTAACAAACAAAAGAATGGACAGGCAATAAAAGAAAATGATGGGTTCATTTTTCCACCTTTGCTTATTTTATAAAAAAGAACTTCAGTATAAAACAAAATTGCTGGGTTATGGTTAGAAAAGCTAGATTTTTTAAATGTTTTTGAAAGAAGACTCATATGCTCACAAAAATACAGTAAAAATGGTAAAATATTATTACAATTTTAAATAACTGTTTTCTGAATGAATATCTTGTAAAATATCATTTAGCACTGGGTTGTATTTAACCCAGCATTTTTTAGAGTGTAACTTTTGAACTTTTTCAAGCACAGATAAATTCAGTTACTCCCAAAAATCTGCACCGGTAATATGGCTTTAAGTATTGGAGTACTACCCAGTCTGTATTTACTGTGTATATTTACTTTTACTTTACTTTTAGTCATTTAGCAGTATATATGTATATATATATGCCATTTTATTGTGGAGTGACTTTGAGGAAGCGTTTCATTATCTTGGTAATTTCCGGGCAGCAGCTCATCACAGGCTACCTCATATCTTCCTTAAGAAAACAGAAATGTAGAAATAAGAGCTCTAGTTTCCTGATTATCACCAGGCTGGCACGGATCCAGGTGCATAAAAGGCCTGTTTGATATTTGTGTTAAATCCGGCTGTTTTGTACCATGATGAAGTTCGTGCCAGCCTGGGAAGTTGGAAGAATCAATCAGGCTTAGAGAGGTTATTATGACCCAAAGGTTATTTCAAGGACAAATCTTGCAAATGTTTAAGGCACGATTCCTCCTAAACTGTAATTCTGTCATTATTCATCCACTCTCATTTCAAACATGTGTTGTTTTATTGCAGTTTCAGTTTATAGTGTCCACGTCTGTCAAGCTCCAAAAATGTATCATAAAACCTCTGTAAAAGCATAAAAAATATAGTCATCCAGAGAGCAAAAATTGAGTTTTAAAGGGATGGTTTGTCAAAAAAAGAAAATTCTGTCATCATTTACCTTTGTTTTAAACCAGTATGGAACACAGTGGAAGTCAATAGTCAATGCAATGGAAATCAATGATCACCAAAACTGATTGGTTACCAACTTTATTAAAAAAATATCTTCAGATTTATGGTTTGGAATGACAAGAATGTGAGTAAATGATGACTGAATTTTCATTTTGGAAGGTGGAAGACCGTCGTGATGCTTGTTGGGAAAGCTCAGTATCTTCCCTGCGCTCCAAGCTCTTTTTCTGCTGCCTGCTCAATGGCTCCGTGGATGATACGCACTTCTTCCTGGGTCAGAGTCCTCTCCATGTGACGGTACGCGACACGGTAACAGTGGCTCACTCTCTTTGTCCTAGGAGAGTATAAAAAGAGAAAAAGATTATTTGACAACAATCCTATTAACCACGAAACTGATCACCAAAAACGTTCCTTAAAAGTAGCCCTATATTCAATGCCTTCTGAAGTCATACAATCATAGCTCACCACACAGTTTTGTGTGATGAACAACACTGAAGTTGTTGTTGCTGTTCAACACTAAAACTGGATCTTTGTTACAATTCACTTATGTTGATAAGTTGGCTTAATATGGCTTCAGAAGACTTTGCATATTGTGCACATGTTCCATAGATTACTTTTATGGTGTGTGTTGTTGTTTTTTTGGATGGAAAAGTGCTATGTGAAGATTCTTCAAAATATCTTCTCCCGCATTCTACAGAAAGTCAGTCATACATGTTTGGAAAGACTTGATGGTGAGTAAATGATGGCAGAATGTACGTTTTTGGCTAAACTATGCCAGTAATATTCGCTTAGCTGTTGTAGTGCAGATATTTCTGCACAAATAAGTTATACAACAGTGTATGTGAGGTCAAGCTAATACACAGATCAAAGTGGTTCAGGGAGCTGCCAGTCAACAAACTCTCTCGTTCTCTCACACACATGCATTGTGCCTCGTCTCAGGGGAGACGCTGGATTAACAAAGAACAAGAAACTACAAAGTTTTGACTTACACTGTGCTCTCCAGGGACGAGACCAAAGTCAAGCGTGATTCCTTCTTTATTGTGCATGCTGTATGTAAGCAAGACTGCAGAAGACTGAGGAAAAAAGCCAAGGGTTTGGACTCTTTATTGAGCAACGAAGTGAGACAAAATGGCTGACAGGCAACTGCAGTAAAGCAGCTGCTGGGATTCCAGTGCAAACCAACGGGGGAGTTGCGAGGCTACCTCGGATTCACTTTGCCGATATTGGATTTGCAGTCAGCAGGCCCGGTGCCCACTGGGATGTAAACTGACATAATAATGCATCAGAGAAGCACCCTAAGAGTCAAACAGCTCCAAAATGCTTAGCGTTTTGAACTGAACTTTTTTTTGCAATCCTACGCTTCCTACAGTTGAAATCCTCACGATCTAAGATTGACAGAACGGTGGAAATGAAACAAAATATCAGCTTATAGAACATTTGACATTGTATCTATGCATATGTAATCATTCTAGATCTGCCATTATAATTTAGAATCACACAGAAACATGAGCAAATTAGTAATTATTATTCGTACAAAAAAAAAACATTTACTTTGAATGTGCGAGACGTCCGGTTTATTAGTTGCTATTGGTAAAACTAGAAGAAGAATAAAGTGCAATAAAATTATATGTGCTACATGATCTCTTCAGTGTTACATGGTCACATGATCCTTCATATATACTGTTGAGGAGTGTTTAGATTTAGTAGGGATGCAATTCAGAAATATATACATAACAGTAAAACATACAAATGTATACACTATACTGTTGTTTGTAAGATTTTTTTAGGCTGCATTTATTTGATAAAAAATGCAGTAGAACAAATAATGTAAAATATCATGCGCAATGTTTAAAAATGTTTTTCTATTTAATTAGATTTTAATTTTTAACATTATTTTTTTTAATTTTCAGCATCATTACTCCAGTCTTCAGCGTCACATGCTCCTTCAGAAATCATTCTGATATGCTGATTTGCTGCTCAAGAAACATTTCTGATTATTATCAATGTATAGATGTCTTTACTGTCACTTTTGATTGATTTAATGCATCCTTGCGGTTATAAAAATATAATTTTCTTTCAAAAAGAAAAAACAAAAACTTACCGACCACTACATTTTTAATAGATGTGAATTAATAAATATGAAAAGACTTTTACATGTGTGAACCTGTGCATACATGCATACATTGTTTCATCATATATCCAAAAGTACAAAAATATGTAAAATTGACAGAACGGTGGAAATGAAACAAAATATCAGCTTATAGAACATTTGACATTGTATCTATGCATATGTAATCATTCTAGATCTGCCATTATAATTTAGAATCACACAGAAACATGAGCAAATTAGTAATTATTATTCGTACAAAAAAAAAACATTTACTTTGAATGTGCGAGACGTCCGGTTTATTAGTTGCTATTGGTAAAACTAGAAGAAGAATAAAGTGCAATAAAATTATATGTGCTACATGATCTCTTCAGTGTCACATGGTCACATGATCCTTCATATATACTGTTGAGGAGTGTTTAGATTTAGTAGGGATGCAATTCAGAAATATATACATAACAGTAAAACATACAAATGTATACACTATACTGTTGTTTGTAAGATTTTTTTAGGCTGCATTTATTTGATAAAAAATGCAGTAGAACAAATAATGTAAAATATCATGCGCAATGTTTAAAAATGTTTTTCTATTTAATTAGATTTTAATTTTTAACATTATTTTTTTTAATTTTCAGCATCATTACTCCAGTCTTCAGCGTCACATGCTCCTTCAGAAATCATTCTGATATGCTGATTTGCTGCTCAAGAAACATTTCTGATTATTATCAATGTATAGATGTCTTTACTGTCACTTTTGATTGATTTAATGCATCCTTGCGGTTATAAAAATATAATTTTCTTTCAAAAAGAAAAAACAAAAACTTACCGACCACTACATTTTTAATAGATGTGAATTAATAAATATGAAAAGACTTTTACATGTGTGAACCTGTGCATACATGCATACATTGTTTCATCATATATCCAAAAGTACAAAAATATGTAAAAATCATAAACATTTTATTTTTAGAGATGTGGGATCCACTAAAACGCTTTTCACACACGCCTAGAAAAGTTTCTGCATGTCATCGCAATAATCTGTTTCTATAGGGATAAACGTTTATCTTTCTCTTGAAACATTTCTTTATATAAAAAAGTAAAAGGTTAAAGTGTAAATGCTGTGGCGCATCCCGCATCTCAATGTCAATACGGTCTCTCTCAATAAAACAGCATCCTCACAGTGAAGAAGTTAAAAATATCCAGAAGATGAGTGTGATCCCAGGGGAAGCTCATCCGTAACTGATTGACACATAAGGAATGATCATACCTGCTGCTGCTGCTGCTGCTGTGTGAGGAGAGATAATTCATCAAACCACAGTTAGTGTGAACAAAGGCAGAGGTAAAGGGAAAGCAATAAACATAAACCCCAGATCGACCGAAAAAACACTGACATAAATAGACAGCTGTAAAAAAAAGACAGCTAAGAATAAATCTGTGAAACGTGACGGCTTTCTACCCACACATGCTGTGGAAAGCGTTTCTGCGAACTTGTGGAGCGGTCGGCTGGCGCACACGCCGTCTAGCAGCCAGAGATCGACTGCGAGAGCTGCACAAACGCAGAACCTGACAATTTTAGGCTATCGCCGGCTGCCACTGGGACATGTACGTTTTCACGCATCCCAAACAGCCAAAGCAGATAATTGGATAAAGTGATTTTCATCCAGGACTCAAGTTTCTTTCTTTTCTTTTTTTAATCATTATAGAAGGAAAGCAGTGCTAAATTGGGAAGCTACTTTTAATCTACTTTATATCATGATACAAGCAAAGAGTTAAACTACAGTCAAGCTATTTTTATTTATAAAAAAAAAGCTACATGCTACTAACTACAAAAAAAACTAACATTTTGTTACATGAAATAAATGTCAACTGGAATAAAATAAAATATAAAAAAAAAAATTTTATTTGTAATTTTATTTTCAGTATAATTTAAAATATTTTGAAAATAGCTTTTAATTTTACATTTTCATGTACAGTATGTATATGCATGCATACTTACATACATACATAAACACACACGTTTGTTTCTGTGAATTGTTATTATACTGACCAAATCATATTTTCTATTCCCTAACCCAGGGGTCACCAAACTTGATCCTGGAGGGACATTTGGTCCCCACAATGTAGCATAAACAAGTATACACACACACACACACGAATATAAATTAAATGCTATTTTCAAAATATGATATTTAAATAGTTATTGTCAGACTTTTGGACCCGTTTTGCCTCCGTAGTTCTTCCTGTGTTTCCTTAGATGGTCTTTTTCCTGTTCTTGCTTATTTTGATTGCCCTGTGTTTAAATACAGTTACCTCCGTGTGTCTACCCTCCGTTTTTGTTTCCGTTTTTTCTCTCTGTTCTTGTTTCCGTTGTGTTTTCCCTTATGGATCCCTTCACCCATCCGGAATTCCTCCTCCTCCTGCTGGAGCAGGGGGACAGATCTCTCGAGGACCATACGAGACTGTTCCGGCTGTTAGCTAGCACCACCAGCTACCCGGAAGACGCGTGCTCATTCTATGATGCAAGCTTGAACACCGCGAGCAGAGCGCCTTCGTCCGAAGATGGTCCTCGAGAGAATTTCGCCGCATTTGTGGATCCACTCCTGACCCAGAGCCCAGCACACCATCTCCCTGCGGTGCGGAGCATCAGCCCGAGCCCATTACCGCCGCGATCAACGAGCCAGCGCAATGCCGAGCGACTGAGCGGAGGATCGCCCCATTCCATGCACCTGTGTTCCCCTGATTGCCCTGTGTTTATAAGCCCCAGTCTGTTCAGTTTGGTTTTGTCGGGTCTACTTGTTGTGAACGTCATCCTTGCGCTCTGTGTCTCCCTTTTGGATCATTAAAAGACTCTTGTTCGGTGAAATCTCCACGTCTCCTCGTTTCCTCATTCCTTCCTCCTCCTGCTGGAGCAGGGGGACAGATCTCTCGAGGACCATACGAGACTGTTCCGGCTGTTAGCTAGCACCACCAGCGCGGAAGACGCGCTCTGCTCATTCTATGATGCAAGCTTGAACACCGCGAGCAGAGCGCCTTCGTCCGAAGATGGTCCTCGAGAGAATTTCGCCGCATTTGTGGATCCACTCCTGACCCAGAGCCCAGCACACCATCTCCCTGCGGTGCGGAGCATCAGCCCGAGCCCATTACCGCCGCGATCAACGAGCTAGCGCAATGCCGAGCGACTGAGCGGAGGATCACCCCGGATGTGGAGCCCCACCCGTCAGACCAGG